GGTGCTTTTGGGTAACTGTCGTCATCCGTCCGTCACTACCGCCCTCCCTCCCTCCCTGAAAGCGCCGGCGGGAAATCAGTTCGCGCACTTTTCTGGTCAGTGACAGCGCGGACGCCACAGCACTGCGAGCATGGATCCCGCTGCGACCATCACTGCAGTTGTGTCCGTTGTCAACGCCTCGCAGCTTATCATCCACCTTTCCCAGAGACAGATAAATCAGGCGAGGAGGCTACGGCACCGCGGTGAGGGCCTGAAGTCTGAGAGTAGCACAGGCCTGTCAGAAAGCAAGGGACCCCGCACCGAGGACATCACGGTGACAATGGGTCATGTGGATGTTGTGGAACGGCGATTCTGGGCACGGGAAACAAGCACGGACTGGTGGGACCGCATAGTGCTGCAGGTCTGGGATGAATCCCAGTGGCTGCGAAACTTTCACATGCGGAAGGGGACTTTCCTTGAACTTTGTGAGTTGCTGTCCCCTGCCCTGAAGCGCAATGACACCCGGATGCGAGCAGCCCTGACTGTCCAGAAGCGAGTGGCCACAGCCCTCTGGAAGCTTGCAACGCCGGACAGCTACCGGTCAGTCACGAACCACTTTGGCGTGGGCAAATCTACCGTGGGGGTTGTTGTCATGCAAGTAGCCAACGCAATCGTTGAGGTACTGCTCTCAAAGGTAATGACCCTGGGAAACGCGCAGGCCATCATAGATGGCTTCGCCGCGATGGGATTCCCAAACTGCGGTGGGGCTATAGATGGAACTCACATCCCTATCCTAGGACCGGACCACCAGGCCAGCCAGTACATTAACAGAAAGGGCTACTTTTCAATGGTGCTGCAAGCACTGGTGGACCATAGGGGACGTTTTACAAACATCAGCGTCGGATGGCCGGGCAAGGTTCATGACGCTCGTGTTTTCAGGAACTCTGGTCTGTTTAGAAGGCTGCAGGAAGGGATTTACTTCCCGGACCACAAAATAACTCTTGGGGATGTGGAGATGCCTACAGTGATCCTCGGGGACCCAGCCTACCCGCTAATGCCCTGGCTCATGAAGCCCTATACTGGCGCCCTGGACACAGAAAAAGAACTGTTCAACTACCGGCTGAGCAAGTGCAGAATGGTGGTGGAGTGTGCTTTTGGACGTCTCAAGGGGAGATGGAGAAGCTTACTGACTCGCTGTGATCTCAGCGAAACCAATATCCCCATTGTTATAGCAGCTTGCTGTGTGCTCCACAATCTCTGTGAGAGCAAGGGGAAGACCTTTATGGCGGGGTGGGAGGTTGAGGCAAATACCCTGGCTTCAGATTACGCCCAGCCAGACAGCCGGGCGATTAGAAGAGCCCAGCGGGACGCGCTGTGCATCCGGGAGGCTTTGAAAGCTAGGTTCCTGAGTGAGCAGGGTAACCTGTGACTTTTAAGTTTGTCTACAGAGAAGCTGAACCTGCCCCCGTTCCTTTACTCACTTAATGTTGACTATCCTCTGCAGTTACATACCCCCTTCCAAAAAAATAAATTCAGTTCTATTTTGTTAATGAACACCGTTGTCTGTATTACTGTTTTCGTGGGAATGTTTTAAACCTGGGACGCAGACTGTGGTGGGGAGCGGGTGTAGTGTACTGATGCAAATGATGCTTCTAAACTCCAGGAATGACAGGCTCCGCAGTACTGGACTGGTTGTTTCAACGGAGCCTGCCAGCCCTCCTGGTCGGGACTGTGTGTATGTGGGGGCTATGTGACTTTCTGGCAGGGGGAGGAGGGTTACAGATCCCCTGCTGCGTGGCTCTGTGATCCAGGATAAGGACCGCGGCATAAGATCTGTAACTGCCCTCCCCCGCCACAAAGTCACAGAGCAACCCCCACCCCACAGAACAGGAAAACCACCTCCCAAACTGACCAGGGTAACTAGTCACTGCACTGTGTATGTGCCCTGCTGCTGGACCTGCCCCCGCCTCTGTACCCTGCTAAAAGGTGACTGTCCTGTCCAATTACCAAGCCCCTTCCCCCCCCTTCAGACAGACTCTCCTCTAAAGAACATGATGGAAACAGTAATGAACAGAAACGTAATGTTTATTAACAACCACACATGAAACTGGGGGGTGAAACTTGGACGGGGGCTTGGGTGAGGCGGGAAGGAAAGGACTTTTCAAATTTTGGGGAATGAGAGCCTTCTGGTGCTTGAGCAGTCTGCAGGGGTGGAGTGAGAGTTTTCACAGACTCTGCCGCCCCTCCTTCTTTGGACTTTGGGTGAGGGGGGTATGGGACTTGGTGGCGGGGGAGGGCGGTTACTGATAGACTGCAGCGGGGCTCTGTCCTCCTGCCTCCGTTCCTGCAGAACATCAACAAGGCGCCGGAGCGTGTCCGTTTGCTCCCTCATAAGTCCAAGCAGCATTTGAGTAGCCTGCTGGTCTTCCTGCCGCCACCTCTCCTCACGTTCCATGTGTGTCCGGTGCATTTGGGACAAATTCTCCCTCCACTGGGTCTGCTGTGCTGCCTGGGCTCAGGAGCAGCCCATTAGTTCTGAGAACATGTCCTCCCGCGTCCTCTTCTTCCTCCGCCTAATCTGCGCTAGCCTCTGGGTGTGTGATGCCAGGCTGGGTTGGGAGACAGTCGCAGATGTGGCTGTGGGAATGGGAAAAAGGGAGTGAATTCCTCAGAAAGATAAATGTAGTTGTGAACAAAGAACAGTCTTTCTCTGTGAACAAGACCATGCACTGCACCTATCACATGCGCACTCAGGACAAGGTCGAATTTTCGGCCCTCGCATTCAGTGCCTGGGGTCTTGCACTGCCGATCTGAGAAGCGGGGCAGGACACCGGAATTTGTGTAGCGGGCAGACATGGTAAGCCGTAGACTTGTGGCTGCTTAAAACTTTAATAGTAGCACTGGCCTCCTTTCACTTTGAAAGCAATGCCAGTCTCTGCTGACAGCAATCCGGCAAGCATGAACTCTGCCCGTCCCACCCCCTCGCGGCTGTCCCAGGGAAAGATCCCTGTATGCTGCCCCTCTCCCGCCTCCACCGCGTGGCTGTAAACCGGCGGTTACAGTTCTGTAAAGGAACGGGCAAGCAGTCCCAATACTAACATTCCCCTACCTAATTCAAAGCAGGTCACCATGAGCGACATCACCCTCATGAGGATCTCAGACAGCGATAAAGAACGAATGCTTCGGGAAAGCCTGCAAAGACCAGGGCCATATGCCGCCATGCTCTGCAGGGCAATGATCCCGGAGTACTTGATTGTCTCCTGGCACGGAAACGTTTGCTACCACAGAGGACCCAATAAGGCCGCTCTCCCCAGGAACCTGATGAACAGGCTTTCAAATTACCTCCAGGAGAGCTTCGTGGAGATGTCCCAGGAGGATTACTGCTCTATCCCCGGACATGTAGACCGCATTTTACTGTAGCTGCACTGTCAGGGACTAAACAGTAGAGCGGCTTGGGCAGAACAATCATGGAAAACCGGACATCGTTAGAGTTTTTTTTCAATAGTTGCAATGCCCAGGACTTAAACGTTAAGAGCCTAGGGCAAACAAATCATGAAAAACCCATTGTTGTTATTGTTCATATTCCAGTTCTGTTAAAAATAAATGTTTATATGTTTAAAACACTTACTGGTTGATCCTTCCCCTGATTCTGTGTCCGGGTTAACAGCTGGGGACGGCTGGTAGGGGATCTCTGTGAGGGTGATGAAAAGATCCTGGCTGTCGGGGAAATCAGCGTTGCAAGCGCTGTCTACTGCCTCATCCTCCTCATCTCCTTCCTCATCTTCCCCGTCCGCTAACATGTCCGAGGAACCGGCCGTGGACAATATCCCATCCTCAGAGTCGACGGTCACTGGTGGGGTAGTGGTGGCGGCCGCACCAAGGATGGAATGCAGTGCCTCGTAGAAATGGGATGTCTGGGGCTGGGCTCCAGAGCGTCCGTTTGCCTCTTTGGTCTTCTGGTAGTCTTGTCTCAGCTCCTTGATTTTCACGCGGCACTGCGTTGCATCCCGGCTGTATCCTCTCTCTGCCATGGCTTTAGAGATCTTCTCATAGATCTTTGCATTCCGTCTTTTCGATCGCAGCTCGGAAAGCACGGACTCATCGCCCCACACAGCGATGAGATCCAAGACTTCCCGATCAGTCCATGCTGGGGCCCTCTTTCTAGTCTGCGATTGCACGGCCATCTCTGCTGGAGAGCTCTGCATCGTTGCCAGTGCTGCTGAGCTCGCCACGATGTCCAAACAGGAAATGAGATTCAAACTGCCCAGACAGGAAAAGGAATTCAAATTTTCCCGGGGCTTTTCCTGTGTGGCTGGTCAGAGCATCCGAGCTCGGACTGCTGTCCAGAGCGTCAACAGAGTGGTGCACTGTGGGATAGCTCCCGGAGCTATTAGCGTCGATTTCCATCCACACCTAGCCTAATTCGACATGGCCATGTCGAATTTAGCGCTACTCCCCTCGTTGGGGAGGAGTACAGAAGTCGAATTTAAGAGAGCTCTATGTCGAACTAAATAGCTTCGTGGTGTGGACGGGTGCAGGGTTAATTCGATATTACGGCGCTAAATTCGACATAAACGCCTAGTGTAGACCAGGCCTCAGATTCACTATTTAATCCTTGTACTGCTCAGCATTTGTTTGGGGGCAAGAAAACAGTAGCAATGTTCAGCCCCAGCTCTATGATGGAAAGCGTTCAAAAGGGTGGAATGGTAAAACAGATGGTTGGCAAGTTAAAGTGACAACTTTTAAAGCAAACTAAGACTGCACAAAGGTAAATCAGTCTGATCAGCATGAATTGTTTGCCTTTTATGGCAAACTGAAAGACGACAGTCATCTACCACTAAGGCAACTTGTGGGGGGAAAACTAGGGAACCCACACAAATTTCAAAATCAAGGAGATTTTCATAGCCAAATCACAGCTCTGCAGTAATCATGTCATCTTATCTCTTACGTAATTTACTGTCTAAATTAGACTTCACCTCTGTTATTACTTATGAAAATTGTATTATAAAAATATTCTTTACCCAACAGTGTTGTACTATCCACTCGATCAGCATCTAGAAAGAGAACAATTCAACTGTGAACAACTAGTCTGGATATTCTTTGCTTTATATAGTAAACTAAAGCAACAAAAAAACCCTAATAGCTTTTGAATAAAATTCTGACACTCCACACCAAATAGTTGCTGGAAAGATATCTTTGTACCTTTTATATAATGCATGCTGCCTACTAAGAGTTAAGCCCTTTTATTTTAGAAATAAAGCATGCTTAATGCAAGTACCTTACAACACTATCATTATACAATATCCAACATTGGCTTGGCTTTTAAAGGCCGACAGGAAACTGCTCTAGTATTACACCTAGGCAGAGTTCTATAAAATGAGCAGCACAGTAATCAAGAGAACTATCAAACGACAGAATCTGAATACACTGAATTTTCAAACAGATTATCAGAGGACATAACATTTAAAGTAGTCTCAAAATGCTAATACAAATGAGAGAATTTCATCAGTTTGTAACATAATTTTGGCACTGGCACAGCTTGTTCAAAATATATTTGTAATGCAACCTCAGTTGTGATCCATCTGCAACAGACCTACCTCAATTTTGAAAAGCTAGCACATGATCCTGTTCTCTTTCAATCTTGATAAAGAAATAGATGACTAAAGAAAGTTTAGTGACAATTAACTATTGATAATTTGTGAGAAAAAAACAAAAATGAGGTGGACACACACACACACAAAACCCAGAAGACAGGCTATCACACAAAATAAGTGATGTCAATTTCTCACTGCCACTTGTATAATCTGAAACGCTGCTGTCCAGATCTGTAACCAATTTAGTTTGGGTTCCTTCTTAACTTTTTATTAAAATCAAAATGAAGACCCGTTAGCCCCATAAACATGCTCAAACTAAAGCCTGAATCCCGAAAGACACATATGCATGTGAGAAGTCCCACTGAATTTAACAAGATTACTTGTGTGTGTGTTTGCAAGGTTGTAGTCTAAGCTTGCAGTCATTGCCAGTAATGGTTTGATGTGGACACAGCAGCAAAATGAGGAATTAAGTGGCAGAATGCAACTTTTATTAAACTTTAACACAGGGGAGGGGCACCACCCGCCCATCACCCATGCTCTCCTACACCAGACATTTAATTGGTTCCAGTAGGGGGATTACAGGGCTCCTTACCATATAATCCATAATTGGTGCCAGAGTTACAGGGTTCCTTACCATCAACCTGTAACATGGGGCTGGCTCTCCTCAGCCTACCCCCCAGGACTCAGCTCTCTCTGAGTCCTAGCACCCCATAAGGGGGACAGACATGCAGCAGGGTGGGGTCCTCAGCCCACAAGATCTGACCTCGGCCCACAAAGTCTGAACCTATCATGAGCCCAAGGCTCATTACCAAAATCCAGTCTTTTACCTCTGGGAACCATTCATTTTATTCTCTTAACCACACTGGAAACCAGACGCAAGTTGTGACAATAAACAACTCCACCCCAGTATCTTAGTTAGATATTAAGCACATTCCTTCTCAACCCACTGTGGCTTGAAGGTGCCATGAAGGTGGCAAAATACTCCCTGGTCCTCTGCCAATTGGCCCATGGAAAAAAAGTTCCTTCCTGACCTCAAACTGGCGATTGGCTAGACCCACAGCATCTGTCAGGCAGCGTTCTCATTCCTGTTTGGGTGAGTAGGGTGGCCTGCTGGAATGGAGCTGGGGAATGGTGGCCAATCAGCAACTTTCTCCCCCAGCTGGCCAGTGGGTTCCAGAGACTCCCAGGGGGAAGAGCTTCCTATTGTTCCTTGGAGAGTGTCTTCCTCCCTTGCTACTGGGACTGTCCTCCTTTCACCACTACCCCCATCAAGTTCCCCCACCCATTGATGTTAGTGCATGGCATTTTTCCTTTTAATTCAGATTTTAATCAGCATGTTACACTGGCTGTCATCAGATCAATGGTTGGTTTGCATCTGACTGACTAGCCATCAGTTACTGTTCAGACCTTAAAAAAAAAATTGTGTATAGCACTAACCAGTAGAAGTATGTCTAAAGGACAGAGTCAGGTCCACAGCTAGTATCTGCAAAGATCTGTTTTTCAGTACATATCCCAGTAGTAAGTAATCAAACATATCCAGCCTTTTCTTAAATGTCCTACATACCCAACCTCCTGAAGACCCAGAGGTTTCAACAGCATTCTTGGAGAAATCCACTCCTCACCGAATCTCTGTTCTGGAATCTGGCTAAGACTATATGTTTAGAAATCATTACCCCAATAAGGCATCTGCCTGCACTTCAAATTTTTTTTAAACTTACTGTTTTATAATCAGGTTGACAGAGTTCTAGTCACAACAGTTTAGCAGACACAACTGAGAACAGCTGTGAAATAATCATCATCTGTTACCCAAAGTTAGTTTCCCTTGTTGATATTTCTCCAAGATGTCCTGATGAAGGCCACAGTAGAATAAACTTCATCTATGCAGTAACACTTGAAAGAAGAAGATTGCTGGAAAAGCACTTCCAAAATATTGGTCATCTTTTTTCTCTCTTCGTCTCCCTTTTTTACTTTTGTATTTTAAAAAAAGACTTATTACTTCGATAACTTTTCAATAAGATACAGACTTCATAGACTCAGATGTAAAGATTAATTAATATAGTTCATCTCTCTGCCAATACTGGACCGTTACCTACAGGACATTTTTTAGTTTTACCCTAGACTAGTTTTAAATGCCCCATGCAATAAGGCTTCACTGCTACCCTTGGAAGATTATTCCGCAGCTTATTCAGTAGGTCAGTTTTTTTTCCCCCGATGCTCAGATAAATTGTTCTCAGACAGTTGTCCTCCCCTCCACCCACATACACACCTAACTTACACAGGATATGACTATTACCCTATACAAATCTTGTATATCTCTTATGTGTACACCAAACACTCGTAATTTCATGTTCCAACTTCATGCTTAGCCAAGCTATACATATTTGACTGTTAGCTTTCCTCGAGTCAATCCGTACAGCCTTTTAAGCATTTTTGCTGTCTTCTCTGAACTCTCATAATGCCTACAACCGAATATTTTATCTGGGGTACTGCACTTAATGAAAGTGAAGTTTGAGAATAATCGAAATAACTTAAAGGAATAAATCCTTACAAGAACACTATAGCTGGCAAATACACTAAGCAAGCAGGAAATTCAGAGCAAAGGGTAAATTTACCAGAAATCCAAACATTTGAAAGTACAAAAATTCAGTTACAATTTTGTTATTATATGCTCCTACTCTGCGTGTCAATCAGAAGCAGAGATTTTCATGCATGCACTCGTAACTACCCATTGGATTAACATCTCAAATCAAGTGCCACTTGCACAAAGAATATACTAAGAATGGAATTCAGTTGCACACATAGAAGTTCATTATAAAATAACAAAACAAAAATACCTGGACTCCTCTGCTTGCAGATTTGAGCAGTTAGATCTTGGACATACTCCGGGAAATATTCAAAGCAATCACCATAGGATACTACTTTTATTCCATGCAGAAGCATATCTGCCTGGAGTTTAAAAAAGTGGTCTTCATTTTCTTTAAGCACCAACATATAATGTTCTAAATCTACTTTATTCTTTACAGTATACAGAAAGAGAGCCTGGAATATTTGATCACGCAGAGTCTCTCCACAGCCCACAAACAAGAAGGATTTGGTCAGATACAAGTTCTGTAGAACCTCCTGTTAAGAATATTAAGATCACAAAAGAAAAATTTTATCTATATGGCCAAAGACACATGGGTCAAAGTAAAAACATTTTTTAAAGTTTCACACACATAAAAGAAGAAATGGAACACTCAGTTTGGCAAAACACAGTATGTTCTTTAATTAAAGTCACACATACCATTACTTCAGGGTCTTGAGTAACATCTTTATATCCTGAAGGATCCAACACCATTCCACAGGGATCTGTATACAAGCCATGAATATGAAGAACTCCATACTTTATATGACCTCTTGCCCACTGAAGAACCTAAAGCAAATCATGCATGTAATATTTACTTTGGATTATATTATACTACTGAAAAAGGGGAAACTATATTCTTGAACAAGTGCCCAAACATGTAAAGCACAGTTGATCATTTTTGCCCTTTGTGTACTAAGGTCACAGTATCAGCCATCACTTGCATAAGTTACAGAAAAACCAGTTAAAACTACTAAAATTTTGAAACAGAAGTGCCTAAACTGTAGACTGTAAAATGTTCAGAATACAATATAAACAATAACCTTTTAAAGGCTTTTTGCTCTTTTGACCAAAAGAAACTTATTTTAATCGACGAAGAGCGTTCTAGCTTTTTTTACAAAAACATAAGACACCACGAGTAAAGCAGCTAGAAAAATCTTAACACCCGTCAGACATCTTTGAGTCTTCCTTTCCAGTGTCTGAGTGATGAGCTAATCACTTCACTAGATTAAGTTACATTTGTGATTGTTACAATTACTTCATCCACATGAACTGTTTCTGTAAATAAGAAATCTACCATTGGTATTTTCTGGCAAATTGTAACACATTATTCAAAATGGACAATGAAAACTGTCTGTCCATGTCTATTATTTTACTTCACTGAAAAGCTTTACAGAAAACAAAAGTAGTAAAGATTTTCAATGAGTAACTAGTGAAAAAACCTGCAAAAAGTACAAGACAACTCCTTTCCCCTATAAGAAGTCCTGACATTTCATTGCCTTATCATACCTTATCCTTATCTTTCAGGTCTAAAGACTCCATGGGTTTACCCTGTTGCTGACCAAAAATCTCAAGTAAATTGTCATAGTTTGTTGTAAGGACCATAGTGCCTCTCTCCATTAGCCTGATGATTGACTGTAGAACAACAGGATTCTGAATGTGTTGTTCCAAGTTATCAAACACCTCCATTAAGCAATCCTGGAAAAAGTTGGGCTTGGTATCACCTGTGCGCTGAAGAAAAAAAAAAATGGTATATAGTTAAAGATAAGCACTGTAACTGCCTTCAGCAGGACAGCAATGGTCCTTAACCATTTGTCCCAATACTTTTCTTTAAAAGGAATTTACTAAAATCATGATATTTAGACAGCTCCTATAGTATATAAAATGTTAGGGTTTGAAATGTCAGAGATAAATCTGAATGGCTTCACACATCCCTGTATTATTTATATAGCTCATATAGTAAAGTCATCCACTTTTCTAAAGCTTTTTGACAGGAATCAACTTGTGCAATATATAGGCCTGGAGGGGGGGGGGGGGGGGGATCTCTTCTGTAGTTTGCCACAGTTAAACCTTCCTCTGTCACTTCCAAACTAAAATATTAAAATGTGCTCCACTCATCTTTTAGCTAATGCCCAAACTCCATGACAGGGTAGACCAGAGGGAGTTCACAACACACCAGAGTTCCACAGACTGCATTGGCTTCCTGATCACTTCCAAGTGCAATTCAATGTGCTGATGTTCCTGTTTAGAAGCTGTATACAGTTAGGGTCCTAGCTTCATGGGAAATCACAAGTGCGGTCATTACCTTTGAGGTCAAAAGTTACCATTCCCTAGATTTAAAATCTTGGGTGCTTGCAGAGAGTCCTTGTCTCAGAAAACCACTTTTGCTCAACCAAGCCAGAGATTCTTAATCTTCAGGATGAGCTGCAAAGCCTGTCTGTATATGCAGGGTTTTCCCTGAGGGGATTGGAGTATTTTGCTCTCTCTCTCAATGCATCCACTGGAATCATTTCTGCTGGAAGACTTCAGGCTGTTTTTAAATGGATTTCCCGAAGAAAACTTCTCAATCTCAAAATCAGTGGCATAGATGCACATTGGACATGTGTGGACTTTCCTTATTTGAAATAAATGGAGCTGGGACAACTTAAGGCTATCAATAGCGTCAAGGTCTGTCAACATTTCTGTGCAATCTCTGGTTTCAGTCAGCAAAGCTATAAATTCCTATTTGAGTTCAGAACAACACTGACAGACTGACTTCTTATAACACAAGCAAGAGTCTTGGCAACTAGAATAATCTGTTTCCACAGTTTTCAGTGAGGTTTGAAATAAAACATTCAAATTAATTCAAGTAAAATTGTATACGTGTGTATACAAACACACACATATACACACACACACACAGAGCAGTAACCTCTACACGCCCCTATTAGAAAGGCCCAATTGTGCTAAGTACTGTAAAGTAAAACAGACTTTCTTCCCCCAAAGGGCTCAAAACCTAGGAATACTACTATTATAATAATGTCTTTAAATAATAAGTACTATATACACACTCACTGGGGACATCTTTCTTATGAGATCATGTGCAACTACAAGCAAGTCTCTGTCTTTGATCACTTTTTTGCGGAATTCAGCAACGTCTCCTGGATGAAGCACCTCCAGCTGTTCAGCTGCTTCAATGACAGCTTCAATACAGCTCCTCCATGAGCACAGTGCTGGTATTTCTGGTGCTACAGCTGCACTCACTCCGGTTCCAATTACCAAAAGAAGGTCCCAAGGCTGCTTCCTTATTAGACTTCTTAAAATCTTCCTAAAATAAAAACAGAAGATCTACATTTTCTACACACTGTATGTTATCTTGTCAAAGTTTCTTAGGATTTTGATAGAAGAGCAATTTAGTGTGTCCATGTGAACTGTTAGTGCTTGTAAAAAGTGCCAGATTGAAAGCACTAGAGTAGAAATGCTCTCTTTCTCAACAGATCAGCTTTCTCAAAGTGAGAGATCAATGTACCTCAACCCTAACCAAGAGAAACCACTTCTAGGATGAGAGAATGGGTATGAGACCTCCTACTACTCTATCTTTGGCCTGTATGCTGTGACTGCAACTAATATGACAATTATTGCAAACTGGGCTGATGGGATTTGCGATCAAGAATTGTACTCAAACCAAATTAATTTCACATAGTTTACTTTTACTTAACAGCCATAAAATAGCAATAGCTTTCACTCGCTGGATTTAAACTGGAAATCTAGAAATGAAACAATCTATCACCAATTTTCAATCCTTTGGGCCACCAGTCATCCTTTCAGCAGTTCTTTTAAGAGAGCTGTACTTCATCGTACCATTGAAAGATCTACTCAGTATAGAGACACTAGTGACAAAGTTGAAATATTTTAAAAAGGACAAAGGAACAGGGTTCTAGTTCATCTGCATGTTAATCAAATGCTGCAGCAGACAGTAAATTTATGTACAGTTGTGGTGTGAAAGATAGTCACATATATGCTCCTCCTCCCCTAAACAACTCCCTCAGCTGTTTTCTGTTTATGATCATTAATTATCTCCTCTAGAGCTATGTTAAGCCTGAAGCTTTCTAAACACAGGTTCACCCAAAAATGTTGCCTGCATGAGCTGGCTCTAGGTATTAGCTGTACAACAGCAAGTACAAGGAATTCTCAGGCAAGTCCCATGGGAAGGCTTTCTGCAAAACTAAAAGTAAAATTGGTCTTTGTAAAGAAACATCTCCATTAGTCCAAACTCATCCTTGAATGCAGAAAGCTTGGTAAAATGGATAGAATTACTGAGGGACGGAAACCTCATTTTCAATTATATCATGCAATTAAAGAAAGAAATTCAGGAAAGAAGAAGAATTTTTTTCATTTATTTTTGAAGTTTTGTAGTTTCTCATTAATCTTGGCTTCAGCAGGCAATCTTGAAAACCCCTTTTTTTCTGCTAAAACTGTGCATAGTTATAGAATATAAAGTTACCACAGGCATAATCTACAAAGCTCTGGTTATTTATATCATATGCACATTACAAATTTGAGAAAAAAAATTGGTATGATTATCTCATAGATATGTGGAATATATTTCAATAATGTGGAAGAACTCAAACAATTTGACAAATATTCAACATTAAATTTGGTCTACAATATTTAACTCTTAAAACATCCCTTATATCATTGCTGGAGGTGGGTAAGCAATTGGGATTTCTAGGTCACATTATCTGAATCTATAAGCAACAAGTTAAACATCCCTGTTGAAATTGCCTCAGGCACAGCAACAACTAAAGTGGCTAAAGAGCTGGTTTATACAAATAAAATACTGCTTTTATGCTCACATTTCTTTCTGCTACAGCAAACACAAATTGATTGTTTCCTCCAGGCATAAATGCTACCTATTTCTCACTAACAGCTTAACCAAGTATGAAATATACTGGCAATGGAAAAGTTATGTTCTCAGGCAAAAGTTAACAGACTTTTGAGCATATATGGTGCCATTTTTAAACCTTATTTAAAATATTAAAGTTTGGGTATTTTGGGTAGTTATATAAAGTAACCTTCTCTCCCAATAATTTTTTTCCCCTTCACCCGGTTATCACAGACTGTACTGAAACTATTTTCATGCTGCCCTTAAGCCAATAAAGGGGGACCATCATGGACAGTAATTAACTCAAGAGGCCTTTTCGTTGGTGGCCTTGACTTTTGCACATTTCTGTTAACTTATTGAGTTTTCATATAGATATTTAAAAAAAAAAAAAAAAAAACACACACTTTCCATGTTGCTTTGCAGAAAATTTCAGACATTAAGGCCCAATCCTCAAAGGAATCAAATGGGAAGACCCTTATGCTCTCAGAGTTCCACTGAATCTACAGAACTCAGAGGGAGTCTGCCTGTATGAATCCTTTTGAGGATTAGAGTCGAAACAAGTAGGAAGGGAAGTAAGACAGTGTACTAAAAATTTTGGAAGGCTAAAGCAGCAACTATGATCGATAACTTTTCATAAAGGTACATCTGGAATCTTTAAGCTTCATGCCCACTCCCACAGTTACCTTTGACTCAAGAGTCTCAGTGGGTGATCCCCAAGGAACAAGAGTCCTACCCTCTCTCTCACACACACACACACACTAGTTACCATTATATTTACCTTGATTTTTGTTCACTTCTGTTGGTTGTCCTTTCTTCTGAGTCCATCTCTGAACCCTATTTAAAAAAAAAAAAAAAGTTTAGCAACTCTTAATACCTCAGTTTATATATGCAATACCTAAAAAACGCCTGATTACTGCCAAAATTAAATATTGATGTATTTGAAAGTTTCTTTGCATTTTCAATTAAATTAATTTATGTGTGACTTCTCACAGACAGTAAAACTAAAGTAATTACAGAAGAGGGACTGATTTCAAAGTTGTCAATTGCTTTAAGTGGAGCTATGACAATTTACACCAACTGAGGATCTGCCCTACATCTAGATTCAAGAAGAGAGAAAGCAATTTTTTTAAAATTATATTTGTGCTTTCCTTAACCCGAAATCTGAGTGGCAAGTGGAGGAAAGGCAGTTCATCTAACCGTACATCTCTTTTGCTTTCCAAAATATATAAATATCACATACATACACTCCTCCTCATTTAGGGCGATTGTGAAAGATTCATATGAAAATATTTTAACGGCTTAAAAAGTGTTTCAGCTCTTACAAAACAATCCCATTAGCAAAGGCATACTACTGAATTTATAAGTCATAAAATACAAACATGATACAGAAAAAGAAAAGAAAACCTCTTCAAGGTTATTTCCTTAAGTTATATTTAAACATGATGTGTCTGGCTAAATAGGTAAACTTTGTTCTCAATACTATCCCTTCCCACATGGTCACATTTATTGTTAAAAATTCACTGATGTCAACAGTCACCACTAGCAGTCCAGTGAACTTTACTGTACAATTCATTATTCCTCCAAGAAGTCCAAATGATTTCATTTCAGTTAAATTAATCTGCTTTATGAAAATCCATAAAATGATGAAAGGGTCAAAAATCAGCCATGCTTCCCAAAAGGCGGTTGGTCCAGTAATCCCGTTTACACACTGAAACAGTCATTATGGCTACTCCACATCCTACCACAGAGCGTTGGGACTACTGGATCCACATAATTGCAAGACTTGCCCAGGACTCATGGAGACTCCATTTCTGCAGTGCACAAAGGGTGGAAGAGGCCTCCTACATAGCTGACGACCTTACAGTCTCCTGCACAACTCCATTGCTAGGGTCAGTGGCTCAGAGGTTCTTGTGTCAGCCCTCTACTTCATGAGTAAATCAGATGACCAGATCACATGAAGAACAGAACAGACCCCATTAACAACTTATTTTAAATGAAGTATCTACAAGCATTTCTAAGTCACTTATTGGCATAGCATCTAGAAGCACCTATCCCAGCTGAGCTCTTTCTGCTCTAGAAATGCCATAGGCACTTTTTCTGGATTTGTGTAAAATATGTACATATCATTACTACTTCCATAGCATTATGAATCTCCCAACCTGAATGAACTGTCAATATTTTTTGTTTTATCTTTCTTGCAGTAAGTAGATTCTCAAGTGCAAAGTATAGTACTGTTCTGCTTATACAGTGCTAGCTAAAGAAAGTGCACGGATCTAACTTTAGGAAGAAAACAAAGCAAAATGGAGAACTCAAGTAAAGCTGTTATGATGTCATCACATTTTTTAAACCACCCCCCTACATGCCTCAGAATTGGATGAACATTTACCATTTCAAAGTAACCTATGAAAGAATGCTGCTGCCAGAGCTCTCCACACCAGCAGTAACCATAGTTCTCCACCTGCCACTATTAAGGAAGATCAAAAGTATTTATATGCCTATTAGAAATTGCGGAGGTTAACCACTTCCTCCAAAATAGGCTCATAGTTAGTTTAGCTCACACTTAAGAATACATACGACAAAATGCAATTTATAAAGCTAATTTTGCACACAACTCCAATAAGATGCCGCTGCTCTTTGAAACATATGGCATCATTTTAGAAAGTTACTCTATCAGGAAGATTTTAGAGAATATTTCAGGTTCTGAAGAATTACTTAGCCCAGCCCCATCTATGACAAACAATTACTAATATTATGTTTTTGCTACAATAAAAACAAAACAGTCCAAAACATACCAAGGTTGCAAACATGACTAACTCATTCCCTGAAGCCAAATTTATGATTTTTAAGTTATTCAGGAGGCCAATTAAAGGTGTAAAACAAATTAAGAACTTTACCTTTCTGGTATGCTATGTTTCACTAGTATAAACACTTAGGTACTCTGCATGTCTCAAACTAATGAAAATTAGAGTAAGAAAACATTAAAAAGAAAAAGCATCTAAGATGTCTGCCCTAGAGCAATTTTCTCTGTTACATCTCTTAAATTAGCATTCCTAACATTTCAGGTTGTCATGCAAACTTTGCTCATGAGAGTAGTTGCATTTGGAGACGCGTAAGGATTTGCAGGATAGGTCCTTTGTAGATCACAGAAGATCTAAAGATAATGACATTTCCTTTTACACAATTCACTGAAATACAACATGATTGGAGGGCAGAATGAGTTTAAGCTACTTATTCACTTAAATACAAAAGGTAAAGTTAAACTACAGCGAATAGGTCAACCTCTTCCCTCAGTTACACCAATGTAAATCCAGAATTAATCCACTGACCTTCATGGAGTTACTCTAGATTTATACTGGTGCAACCAAGATTATGAATTAGTCTGAATTTATTTCTATACTATAAAAAGACTATGGAACCAAGAAAACATTTTAAAACTGAGGGCACTATACTCAGAATAAGGAAAAATATATATATGAAAAAAATGAAATACACCTCTACCTCGATATAACGCTGTCCTCGGGAGCCAAAATTTTTTTACCGTGTTATAGGTGAAACCGCGTTATATCGAATTTGCTTTGATCCACCGGAGTGCGCAGCCCCCCCGGAGCACTGCTTTACCACATTATATGCGAATTTGTGTTATATCGGGTAGCGTTATATCAGGGTAGAGGTGTATCAAGTATATGAAAACATAAAGACAGTATGTAAATAACCAATTCTGGTCTCATTTGGTTCCACTCAATCAAATAATCTGCTCCTTCCAATCCTTCCCCTCCTGAAAACTATTCCCTTGTTGATCTTTTATTTGGGAAAGTATCCCCTTTCTGTGTCTCTGCTGGAATAGTGAACTAATAGAATGCTCTCCTTCCAAGAAGTTTTCTTACCAAGAGTAAGGTCCAAAGTACCATCCTACTGCAACAACCTCAAGATGTATGCTGAAAAGTAACCTTTGCAAAGCTATGTCTCCCTCCAACAGCCTTCTCTAGACAATTTAAACCCCAAATAATCCCAGAACTGCATTTTGGCAGGTTAATTTAACTACATCATAATCCCTTAGAAAGTTCCAAGGCTTCATGAAATTAATTCTATTGCATTGGTTTGCTTTGGTTTTATAAAGTGGGGAGGAATAAATTTTAATTTGGCTGGAAAAGTTCACAGTTGTGGTGCTGAAGGCCCACACTGTGCAACCAGTTGCATGCGCCCAAACACATGGCCCCTGGGGCTTCTTGCAGGCTCTCAGGTCCATCTTCATGGAGCTTATTAAAGATTCCATGGCTTAATTTGTTGTTGAGACATATTATGGGACCACTGGACAAAAATGAATAAAAGAAATGAAAAAAGTGTCTGCTAGAAGCACAGAAATACTTTTTTTGATAGGGCAGCAGTAAGGGATCTGATCTTAGATGTCCCTTCTGGCTCTAAAGTATTTTTAGAATGAAAACATTTTTGCTGCTACATTTAATAACAATGCTTCCTTTCACAAATCCCATGGCAAACCACTACCCAAAATGTGTATCATCTTATCACTTGGGGAATTACAGCAGATTCAAAAATCTAAAATAATAATCTATTTAGAACAAACCAGATAAAATAATCTTGCTTTCTAGATTTTTAACAGACAGAGTTTAAGGAGTGACTTGATTACAGTCCATAAGTACCTAAATGGTGAACAAATATTTAATAATGGTATCTTCAGTTTAGCAGAGAAAGGTATAACACAATCCAATGGCTGGAAGTTGAAGCTAGACAAATTCAAACCAAAAATAAAAAAGTCTTTTTTTTTTTTTTTTTTTAAACAGTGAGAATAATTAACCACTGGAACAATTTACCAAGGGTCATGGTCAATTCTCCATCACTGACCATTTTTAAATCAGGATTGGATGTTTTTCTAAAAGATAGGCTCTACGAATTATTTTGGGGAAGTTCTATGTCTTGTGTTACACTGGAAGTCAGATTAGATCATGATGGTCCCTTCTGGCCTTGCAATCTATGAATCAACGGCTTCTCCAGATACATGGGATTTGAGGCAGCAACACAAAGGTAATAAGTCTAAAATATCTGAACAAGAAAGTATAACCTCTTTACTCTGAAAAATACTGTACTGTACCATAACTCTCTCCATGCGATTTTGGGGGAATCAGTCCGTAAGAATACTGATAACGGTAACTGTTAATATATCAGTAACTTTCCAAAATGATTAAATACAAAGTGTTATAACACAATCACAGTATGCACTACAATACTAGCTGTCAATGTTACCATCACAGTTCCTGCCATATCTTTCTGTTTCGGCCATACCTAATAGCAACTTTCTGCTTCTCAAAAGCTGTGTGCATAAGAGCAAGTAATCTCCATCAGAGTTTAATAGCCATAAGGAGGTAATTCATCACTGCTACTAGAGTAATCTCTGCCTTTGCCTGGTCTAGCTCCTGACTTTGAAGGATCCAAGATACTAACAGAGGTGATGCTGTCAACACTTCTTCAGTGACAATGCCTAGAAAAGGGGAGGCTAGAGCTGGAATAGGAGTTAGTATTCAGTGTTGGTTTCCTGAGAATCAGTCGACCTATCATATGGCTTCTTCAGGACAGATTGTCTTCTCTGCAGGAATCATCAATTATTTTGATCAGTAGTTGGATCATTTTTTTTTTTTTTTACACACACACACACACACACACACAATCTCACTACTCACGCTGGACTGGGTGACTCATATCCCTGATGTCCCAAACTCTCAAAGTTTCCAGTGCCTCTACTTGTGTGACTGATTCAAACTCAATGAGGGTTAATTGGTCCTTAGTATGTATTCTAGCTTGGTATCCTCTCTCCTAAAAAAACTGTCCCCTATTTGGTGGATCTCCTTGCAAGTAGGGGTAGGCACTTAGGCTTGGAAGTTGGTTAATGCAATCTGGTTTATCAGATAGCGTGCTAATTGACTACTTGAAAGAGCTCTGCAGACAATACTTGGTAGAGTTTACAGTAGAGAAGAAAATGCATTTAAGGTGTACCTCCTTCCTCCTCCCCCCACATGCACACTAATTTGCTCTGAAACAAGAATAGGTCAGTATCAGACTAGATAGGCCAATAATCTCCTGCAGGCAACAGTTCCTGTATTCCTCTTTAGGGATAAGTCTTACCAGCAGTGATGTAGCCAAGTCCGAAACATTCCAAAAAGGCTTTGGACTCTGCTTCTGAATTATTTCCCTGTTTGATGCCTGCATAAAATGTCAGTCACTCATCTCCCTTCCAAAGGTATCTGCAGCCACGAGTTCAATTTATGCAGGTTACATTTTTTTTTAACCCAAAGGAAACCCTGCTGAGACGCACAGCCAACACATTACCTGCTCGGGAAGGACGCTTGTAACAGGAATTCAGTGATGACTCTGCCCAGCTACGTGGTCTAAAAGTAGAAGTCGTGGGGTTGGGGGGCGCTGCTATTTTGACCCATGACAGCTTAACCCCCCCAGCAGCCGTGCAACAGCAGCACGCCCGGAGCGTCGTGTCCCCACGCGCGGGGACGGGTTCGCGCCGCCGGGAGGCCCCCTCCCCCCGCAGGGTCAGGAGCTGCGCGCGCGCGGAGCCCCCGCCGCGGCGGAGCCGCTCCCAGCAGCGCCGAAAAGCAGTAACGGCCCCTGCTCAGGGTGAGGGGCAGAGAACGAGCCCGCCACGCGGCGCCAAGCAGGCAGCGCCTGACTGGGGGAGAGACGGGATGGTCAGCAACGTCCGCGCGCACCGCCCACAAACCTGCCGGGCTCCTCCGCCGTTATCCGAGCGCGCGGCCGCCTCCCTCTCGGCTTCGCCCCTAAGGGCGCCGGCAGGAGGGGGCGGGGCCAGCAGTTCAGCCCTCGCGGCGGCGGCGGCGACTTCTTCCCCCGCCCGGCTGGTGTCCTCTCAAACACCGACCCTCGCCCAGGGGTCCGCCCATGGCTTGGCCCCGCCCCCGTGGGGAGACTCCCCCTCTGCTCTGGCTCTAAATACCCTGCAGCCCCCTCCCCCAATGCAAGTCTCCCCACCGTGGGGGAGGGGGCAGGTGCGCTGTCAGCCAACACCGGGACCCCACCCAGGGCGCCTCCGCGCTAGACGGCTGAGCCTTGACAGCTTGAGCTAAAGGGCCTGTGACAGCACTTCTGGGGCAATTCTGCACCACTGCGCAGGTGCGGCATTACTGTCCCGTCCCCCGCCTTGATTGTATGGGAGAGCCGAAGGGAAGCTGCAATTACACCTTTTCCCCAAGAGGTGGTGCCAGAAGCGAGGGCAGCCGCTCACAGGCGGGAGCTGCCAGCCGCGGTGAGGGAGAGGGAGGCTTCCTCACAGCGCCCTGCCCGCGGGGCAGGTGAGGAGGCTCGGAGTGTGGGGGTGTGGACAGAGTGGGGCACACAGGGCTGCTGGGGGGTCACACAGACGGGTTCAGAAGGGCTAGTGGGGGGGATAACACTGAGGCAGGGGCTGAATGGGAGTGGGGGTGCAGGGGGAGTGGGGATGGCTGAGTGGGGGTTCAGGGGCAGCTATGCCTGGCTGAATGGAAAGTGGGGGTGCAGGGGCACATGGGGAGAGGGGTAGATGTGCCTGACTTAACGGGAGAGGCTAGGGGTCAGCCGAGGTCTGCATGGGGGAGGATCCCTAACAACCCCCCTCCTCCAAAAAAACCTGTTCCATACTTCTCCCACCCACGCCAAACAACCCTCCAGGTTCACTCCCAGGCTCCTTCTCAGCAATTACTTCCCTCTCTCTTAGCTCCTCTGTTACCCCTGACTTCCCCAAGCCTTTGCATTGCTTCTGAGCAGTGCAGGAAATGTTTCTGTATTGTTATAATAATTGATCCCTCTCTGCTATTTAAATGTGTGTAAAGGATTGAAAACTGAATGGTATTTTTAGATGTCTAATAGAAACACACTCACAGCAAAAATATTTCATTTTGCTGAAGGAAGGGAAGTGTAAACACATTTAGAGGAGGTCTGTAAAACTAGAAAGTACACAGCTGGAGGGGAACTGTGATTTTGGAACCTCTGCTTTTTATTGAAAAAAAAAATCATTCACAAGTCTACTGGCCACTTCACTGAGTATTATTTCTGAAAGTTGTTTGGGAGCTAAAACAGAAACTGTTGTGCAATTATGGAGTTGCTATTACAACTCTGTAACATTTGGAGATACTATTATCTTATAAACATCTAAGCCCCGTGAACTGTCCCTTTCTTATCTCTGAATTGGATCTGAGTTGGGACTTTTCAAAGTCTCCTATATATTAGGAAAGATAGATAAAAACCCTCTTCTCCACTGCCTCATTTCACTGTCTCCTTCTTTCCCCTTCATCCTTCCCACAAATGCATTTTTGAGTTAAGGAGGCAATATGGTCTCATGAACGAGCCTCAGATTGGATTCAGCAGATCTAGCTCTGTTGCCATCTCTGCTACTGACTTATTGTGGGAGCTTTGGTAAGCCATTTAACCATTCTGTGCCTCAGTTTCTCTATGAAAGGCAGATGATATTACCCACATCTGAAAAATGAATTAAGACCTATGGATGAAAAGTACTAACTATTATTATTAAAGAAGGCAAAAAGAATAAACTGACAGTCTGTGTTAAATAGCAGACATTTAAATAGCAGAGAGGGATCAATTATTATAACTAGTCAACAAAGAAAAAACAAGAACTAATCACCTTAAGCTCGGCAAAGAGATATTTGAGGCTAGTATTAAGGAGAGTATTAGAACTATAAGAAAGCAGGATAGCAATGGAACTAACTGCAAAGGGAAACTGTGAAATTGTTTTCACTAGAGATATTCAAGGTTAGGCTTGACTGTCTGTAGGTTCAGGGATAATTAAATAAGATTGTGAACTCAGAGTATTAACAGCAGGTGGCATATGTTGTCTGTAATGATAAAGAAACATACCTTCCCTAGCAGGTTGTTGTATTTGGAAAGTCACTTTTGAGAGACAATAGTTACAGAACTCCTTATCAGGAGGCTCATTGATAGTGTTGAAACTTTTAGAACTGCTACATTAAAGTTCAGAATTCTGAGCTGATTTATATTCTAGACAGTCCCGTTGGTTAGTATAGTATTTGGCTCATACCATTTAGATCATTTCAGCCAGATTTTCTGGTAACATTGGTCTCCAATTTTGTGTTTACAATATTCGGGATTAATTTAGGCCACCTCACGTAAGTACAAGATTGTGCCTGAAAATCAGGAAGTTAAATGTCTTGGGGTACGTCCATACGGCAGGTAGCGATCGATTTATCGGGGATCGATATATCGCGTCTCGTTAAGATGCGATATATCGATCCCCGAACGCGCTCCTCGTCGACTCCAGAACTCCACCGGAGCGAGCGGCGGTAGCGGAGTCGACAGGGGAGCCGCGGCCGTCGATCCCGCGCCATGAGGACGGGAGGTAAGTCAGAATAAGATACGTCGACTTCAGCTACGGTATTCCCGTAGCTGAAGTTGCATATCTTACATCGACACCCCCCCACACACACAGTGTAGACCAGGCCTAAGTGGCACAAATTATGCCTGCAAATAATTACCAGTGCAAAATTGTACCTAGAAATTTCAGATACAAAGCTAGGTTGAAAATGTGTCACTTTCCTAAATGGCAATAGTTTTTCAAAACATTGTAGTTTTAAAAACTGCTTTTATAAATAAATTAATGGAGATATCCTATCTCCTAGAACTGGAAGGGACCTTGAAAGGTCATTGAGTCCAGCCCCCTGCCTTCACTAGCAGGACCAAGTACTGATTTTGCCCCAGATCCCTAGGTGATCCCCCTCAAGGATTGAACTCACAACCCTGGGTTTAGCAGGCCAATGCTCAAACCACTGAGCTATCCCTCCCCCTCTTATGCCACGCTTATTTTTACAGTACTTTTTTAAACAGACTTTTCAAAGCTAATTGTATTTACTGGCATAGAACTCCCTTGCTAAATGACTGCATATTTTTCCTGTCTCTTGTGGTCAGTTATGAATCACTATTCCATCCTAAAATTTTGGGATATGACCAGAGAGGTCAAGAGGGAGAACTGCGGATTCATAGATGATGGGGTTTGACCATCCTCTTTGCCCCCTTCCTACCTTTAAGAAGGGTAAGGAAGTGGAAACGATAGAGAAGGGTAGTTAGCATTGAACCAGAGTCCCAGTTTGTTGTTAGGAGAATTGTGTTGATAAAGGAGCTGTCTTAAAGACAAAATAAAATAAAAAAAGTGTTCTAAGCTCTTGGGGTTCTTGCAAGATTAATAGTATTAACTCTGATCAAATTCCAGTTTGCATGATTACATTTTGCCTCTCTAAAACTGTCCATGTAATTTATATTGGACATTTTTCTTTACTTCATCATCTATAAAATTAATGCATTGTTGATGGTGCAGAAATCAAGGGTCCTGCAATGAAGTTTGTCATCACTGTATCTACAAAGATATAGCGGCCTGAGAATAAGGTCATGGAGAAAACCCAAGGTCTATTGGGAAGAGATAGGAAGGAATGTAACCAAACCTATCATCACCTGAAAAAAAATGTATTTGGTTCAATTTGGGGATGTGCAATATTTCAGGCTAGTGATTATTTTGCCTGGAGCACTTCTCCACTCTCTAGTGTCAGCTCACTCAGAAAAGTATTTGTAGCATATTAATATGCCTGAGTAAACCTCAGGTTCAACAATCTATGTCACCTCCCCTGGAACCTGGTGATAACCCACACTATAACTCACGTTGCTTAGAACCCAGTGTCACTGTGAATGAAACTCCATTTGGCATTGCATTGTTAGAAAACTGGAACTTTACCAGCTTTAAATAATATGCTGACTAATAATATTTTGCTAACAGCAGATAAGAGTCATAGTTGCTTACTAAATATTTTCCAGTGCTCAAGAAGTAAGGTCACCCTCTCCTAGTTTACAATACTTCCTTTTCTTCTTTGTTTTACATTAATTTAAAAAATAATGAGCAGAGTACAACATTATATAGGCATTACTTCCTTGGCATAGAACTAGAAAATTAGCCAAGGAAAAAAGCTATTAGCTTGTGAGATATGCCCCTACCCATATCTATACGGTAGTGATATTAGAAGGAGTGTTAGAGTAGCTTTCAGAATCTTGCAATTTGTTCCTGCATTTATTCAAAAGTTTATGCATGTCAGACAGAAACAACAGTAAGAAATGTAGTGTAAAGTTCAGCAACAAGAGGCACAGTAAGCGAGAGATATAGTGTGTTGAATGCTGGGGATACTGAACTGAGAAGAGTTCTCTCTTAAGTACCAGGCAATGAAGGCTGAGAACTGTTGTTATAATTGAGGAATTCAGAGAGAGATGGAGTCCTTAAGAATCAGGGAAAGCCATACATAACTATGAAAAGGCAGTAAAATGGAGGTGTTCACCAGTTAGTTACCTCTGACCAGACCCAAGAGGGAAGCAAGGTGAGAAGAGGAGGAGGAGGAGGAGGGGAGAAGAAAAGTATGGTGGCTCAACTGACCACCCATTGCTCTCTACCACACAGTGTGCTCAAGAGCCACATTCCAACAGGGTATATGCAGGTGCAACTCCATTAAGATCTTAATATGGCTCAAAAACTTTTACAGACAGACTAAGAATAGATTGTTTTTCCACAATACACAAAT